GTAGTCATGCAAATGGTGATACTACGGGCAAGAAGGAAACTAAAGCAAGTCTTGTGCTCCCCTTCTCTTCTCTTGCACTGATTAATGTAATCAGTGACCTTCACTGATTAAAACTATCAACATCTGAGAACCCCACTATAAAATCTAGGAATAAATTTTCTTCTAAAGTCTGTACGATTTGCATAAAGTTTGAGGATTCTTTAGGATTTCCAGCGAAAAACAGAACAAAAAATTTTTCCTTTAGGAGCCGTCTTCCCTTTATTGCCTACGTGAGTGCAACCCGTGCTCTTAGCGAGCTCAGTGGCCATGGCTTGTGAGGACGTGAACTGGTGAAATGAGAACAAATATCAAAGGCGGAAGCTCTTTTCAGCCACTATCGCTTTTATTGCTCGATGGAAGCGTTTCAAGGAGAATCCCTTGCTTCGAAAAGCCCTCGAACACCAATCTGTTTTTCAACCTAGTATGCATCAAATCAGTGGGCAGATAGACGTATTCGGTGTAACTTTGTTTTTCTGGGCTCTTCTTTTTAGTATTACTATTTTTTGCCTTTCCTAAGCCTTACTGCTGCAATAGATCAAAATGTGCAGCACATGAATATCGTAGTTTGATCTCTCAGTACATTGTGAGTGTAAAATATAGGCCCAGTGCCTCACATCAGCCAGATTTTGACTGAATTCAGTCTAAATGTTATAATAACACAAAGAGGCACCAAAATTTATTTCAAAAGAATTCCAAAAGTTCACAAATATTCGAAAAAACTCCAAAATTCCAAAAAAAACAGAAAAAAATTCAAAAAGAATTCCTTTGAAGTCTTCCGCGATATTTCGGTGTATAACACCTTCGTCAGAATTTTAGAGCTTTTTCGAATACTTTGTGAACTTTTGGAATTCTTTTGAAATAAATTTTGGTGCCTCTTTGTGTTATGTAACATTTAGGTCCTGATGAGGCTCCGGGACAGCACAATACTATGAAATTCTCATTCAACAGACCTTCAGAAGAATCTTGGTAGATAGTGGAATTCGTCGTCTAGGAGCCCGTGGGGGGCACTTTCCTTTGGACTATACCCCTTTCTCACGTCAGTTTACACTCGTGCCTCACCTATTTCTTGATCTTGTTAATGAGCATGAACTGCGGAACTGCGCTCACCTGAGATTAGCCGATATGAGGAAGTGATAGACGAACACCAGAACAGACGTCATCACCAGTATATCACAGATGGCTACCGCGCAAAGAATGGCGTTGATTGGCGAAAGCATAGACGGCCGTGTTAGTACGACGACAGTGACAGCGTTCATTACAGTACCTGCAACGTAATCAAGTTAACGAGGATTTCGTCGTAAGTCCCAATGCCGAATGTGTGGGATGATGAAAGAACTTTGATCTGTTTTCCTAGCTATGTTCGTTGCGCTCATTTTCGGGGACGATAATAGGAAGTGCTCGTCGTAGGGATTATTTAGGCAATATACGCTTTATTGGTAAGACCTCTTACATGCCAAATAGCTCCGCTCCGTTTCATGACGTAGAGTAACTTATCGGATAATCTGGACCAGACCCTTATTAGCATCAGATGGATTTCAGGTGTAAGACGCGGGATCCGCTTGACGTGGAACCTAACAGCAGATTGCGTGCCTGGTTCTAATTTGGACCAGACCAGGAACACCGTCATAAATCGTAGCTGGAACGGCTCTATCAATCTTGCAATCAAAGAAGGCAATACCCGATAAGATCGGAGGGCGAAGAAGAGAAATATAAATTTGTGCAAAGGCAGGCGACCTTCCCGTGATGACCAGGCCGATGCGGGATTCGGCTCGAAGCCCTCCGCCGCCGAGACTTACCGAAGTTATACGACTCGCTGTCTAACTCTGGCCGCTCTAGCGAAAGAGCGTTAGCGTTGATGAGGTCAGCAACAATTAGCCTAACGCGCAAATCAGGGGGCGAAGAGGGAGTGTCGTTGGAGTTCTGGGGTAGTTTCCTCAGTTTTTTCTTCGTTTCTTATTTTCGTTACACCTCTACTGTATTTCTCAGAAGGCATATCATCTTCCCGATAAACCCGCACTTCAGGATGAAACCAATATACGGACACCGAAATACACAGGACTTAGGAGACCCATTTCACGAACGAGGAATACGAAGAAGCACCTCGCGTTTTTAGAGAGCGTTTTTTAGGTTGGTTGTTGTTGTGTTCGACGGACTCCCGAATGTACGGCGGAAATGTTACAAATACATACTGCGTCACGTTCTGTGCCTTGAAATTCTTCTAAACGAAACAAAAACAAATTTACAAATAACAATTCATTCCCCAGTGATCATTTTAAAGAAGATTGTATGATGGATTGGACCCGCTATAAAGTTGACGACATTACAGTTAAGACTTTATCTCCTAATTAAGACGGGATTTTCGCTCATATGTGTATATCTATCCTAGCGCTTACGTGGTTTGGGGGGGGGGACGTTGAAGTTAGGGCCAGTTGAAGAACTTCCTGAGTTTTAGAGAGGGGGAGAGTTTCTGGAAAGAACGTGAGTAACTCTTGTTCTTCCTGGAATTTCTCCCCGCTCCCGTGCTTGTTCCTAATGCCACCTACCAGCGGCTCTTCTTTGAAGTTCCTCAGAATGAGACCGCCAAACCTACTGGTGTTTCCGTGATTTGCCCCAGTGTTCCAAATGTGAAAGGCATGTTCGGGCAGCGCTCCATTGGGAAGACCTGTTGGGTGGCAAAACCTGCTCCATGTAACGAAGTAAAATAACTTAGCGGATAATCCAGGCTATATTCTCGTCAGGATCAGAGATACCCCTCACTAATGTTTGTCGGTGATGCGGTGACTCTTTACTCTAACGCCCCACCCCCTTTGTCCTTCGGTAATGTGGGCACTTCACAATAGCCTTCAAAGGCTATCAGTGAGGAAGTTGGAGGGCTTACAATAGCTGGGAGAAAAGAACATTCGCTGCTGTTGTATAACTGATGGTGAGTACAGCCCTTCCTCCAGCAGTGGACCCAGTGGCTTTTGGACGACGTGAAGGTCGAAACATTGGCCAAAATAAAGTTTCCACATACGAACCTCGTATCAGAAGTATAAAGCACGCAGTAGTTGAAAGATTTTCGGACAAACACCTACCGGCAAGGCACAGCACGACGGCCATGTAGGGGTGAAGATGAGCGTAGGCATTATGTAGCACTGACACGGCGTCGGCCAACCAGTCGGCGTCTGTCAACGGAATCGCACCCAACTCGCACATCGTCGTGGCCACTGGGTGTCATGCAATGCCACTGGCCGTTCCTAAGAGTGGCGCTGTGCGCGTTAATCTGAAAAAAGGCTGTATAAAAAGGATAGGCGATGAGCCGCGTGTAAAACAACGTGTACGGCAACAAACGAGAGTGTAACACGCGTAGGAACATAGATCGAATTTCGTGCAAACCAAGCTATCGGGAAAGGATTTCGTTGGTTCATGAGGAAGGAATGTCGACCAAAGAGGTTACGAGGGCGAGTCCTGAGGTCAGCAGTCATAAGTGAAACAGCAAAATGGGCTCATTCAACGTCATTCACATATGGTTGTTCGATCGCAACAAACTTTCATTGGCTCCATCTGTCATATCTCATTTTGAACAGCTGCTGTTAAAAGAGCTTCTTCTGCCACTGAAATCCTAGTTCCGCATTAGCCAACACCCCTAAGAACGGGAGCATCACATGCCAACTCACAAACAAGCTTCCGTTTCTTTCTAGTGACAACAAGCAGTGGTTAACAGCGAGCAGTGCCATCTGTTCAAAAATGAAAATGTCCAGCTATTGCGAGCAGGCAGGCTTTGCAGATATATCGAATCAAATGAACGGCACTTTTTATACTATATATCACATAAGCAAGGAGGGCGTGACAACTACGTAGAGCCAAATCGGTTTAAGGGGATCGCGTCCACTGTCGATGATTGATCAGCTGTTTTAAGAGCTATTTTCTGCATTTCTTATCGAAAAATCCCGAGCAAAAAGAAAATCGTTAGACCGAGAACAAGCGTGATCACTCGACGGCAAGCGCAAACTCTATTTTGGCGTGGCACTCCTCTTATACAACTGCTTCAGACGAAAGTCCCCTTTGCTCTATGGGTGAATGTATAGGAAATGGTGGAAGTTTGGAGGTGTAGTTTAGCATAGAGTAGATGTTACCAGCGAGCGCGTCCGGGATCAAATCCTGGGTCGTGAGTCGCCCGGGCCAACCAAGCCTTCCATCCCTCCGGGGTCGGTTAATTGGTACCAGACTTGTCTGGGAGGATAAAAACACTGACTTGTACATCGGCTGGCCCCCGCAAGTCATTGTATAGGCCACATCGCATTCAAACGCCACTGCGAATGTACAAATGGAAGTAGAATGCGTGCCGCATCCCAAAAGGGATTGATCAACGGCAAATGCTTTATCCTTTATCCTTTATGTACAAAATGTGTTACTAAAACATGCATTCTTGCATGGTTTCGGCCGAGGATGCAAAGGATGAGCAGTGCGACATTTTGAAGTGTTTTTTTTTTGTCAAAGGACTTTATTATCCCGGGGGATATTGCGTTACTGTCCATGGAGCTTACCGGAGAGTAGTGTTTGTTTTTCGAAAAGTAAAAATGCTGTAATCGGAGAACCCCTTTGTAGGCTGTTGGGATTTGTACATGCAATATTCGTCACCCAGCACCCCATCAATAGGAATAAATAAGGGCTTAATGTGAGCGGTACGTGGCATACCTTGAAACTTGCTCTTTTTACGGTTCGATGGGGTACATCACGCACGAGGAAGTGGTACACTGAATTTGTAGGTAGCTAGTTTGTGGAGAATAGCAAGATAAAAATAACGGGGGGCAACATGCGAGCATGCGCAAGTTTGCAGGCCGCGCATTGTGATTGAAACGCAGAGGGAGTTTCTCTGCTGCTTGGAACTTCGTGAAAAGACTATCTACTCGAAGTGTTGAACATGGCTCTACATCTCAGAAAGCGATCCGTTGCATTTGGGGTCCTGTAGTTGGTATGTTAAGATGAGCTATTGGTTGGCCCGGCTCGTTAGCCGGTATAGGCTCACGCCGCAGCGCCCACACTCTTAATATATATGTGCTACTAGGGAACTTGGAATAGTCTCGCTTTTCAACGATGTTCTGACGAATGGCAAGCGCTACATAAGAGCGCATGTTGGGGACGTGGATCTGCAGATTGGTGGTCCGCTTTCTGATGTCGGTTTACCTGTAGACTTGATGTTTGGAAAACAACTAACTGCCGCAAAAAGGCGTGGCGTGCGGTCCGTTTTGCGTTTTCTATGGTTTCTATTTCTCTGTATTTATATACTCTCTACTGGAGTACCCACTTGGAGCACCACGCATGATATCTTAAGGTAAAGCGCTCAGTGATCTTTATTGCTTTGAGCACAATCCTAGGCGTTTGAAGATTCGATGCTCATACGCAGGGCTCTCATCAAAATGGGCGGAGCTAAAAACAAAAATTCCGCTTGCCGGTTCCATATCACCATTGTAAGCACGCTGGCAAGTGTGGCCCAAACTGGTAGCTGTATACCTGGAAACACTATGCGATGTAGATTCCTGCCTCGAGGGGCTAATCCAGCCGAATAGCACCGATGACGTGTCTGTTATTGCTCAACAAAAACCCATTCACAGCTAAAAATACACTTTATCTCAACTGAGGTGCGGTGCAGTCGTTTGTTGCGGCACAACGATTTCAACACAGCGTATTGTTCTATTGTCTAACTGTCTATACATATTTAAATTAGGGCGTTCTGCCTCACTGCTAGCAGTGAAAGTGCAAATAGCAGAAGGTCGTCTTCTTAGCAAAAGGTGCAGACCTCGTTGAACCCTTACCAGTCAGAATTTTTAAAACGCATTGGCATGGGGATTCTTGGCGAACTCTCCGCTCCAGCACAGAATTTGACATTAACATTTGATTGACCGATAAATTCTAAATTTTCCTGATATTATCAGCTTCTATTTCGTTCCCAGTAACGCCTTGCAAAAGTTTCGCAGAACGCTTAGCTATGAACAAAAGTTCCGCCTAGGCGATACTCGAACCCGCACCTCTCGCTTGCCGGGCAGGTGCACTACAAGTTGAGTTAGCGGAGCACCGTTATGCCTTAACTCAGCTTTCCATGGTATACTATAATAAAATATGAATAAAAATGAGCTAGGATTGACTGGTGCCTTTTCGAACGTGCCATGTCTTCGACTTCTGTTCAGAATCGCAATGCCACTTGGGAGTCAGCCTTTGCTTTTCATAGTGACTTGAGCGAGCTATGCGAAAAAGGTTTAAAAATAGTTGAACGAGATTTTTAATGCTTTGACATTTATAGCGCCTACATGGCGAAAGAAGGCGCGCGATGTGCCCTCAACCTGCATCAGGCCGGCTCACTAGCACTTGCTACTATAGCTTTAAACAGCGCAGCAATACATCAATACTGGGTGCCTTC